AAAAGTTGTTTTTGGGAAAAAAAAAAAAAAAAAAAAAAGAGTTAATATCCATAATATTGCTTTCTTCAGTAAAAGAAAAAGTCATCTCATCTGAATCAGGAGAGAAATGCAAACAGATCAAACACAGTTTACAAGCAAAGTCCGAGTTCTAAACAAATAGGTAGGTGGATTTTGGCATGAGAGGACAACCAGGGATGGACATTTTACCTGGGGGAGGCGTTATTTTCACTGATCTGTAATAGAGAATTCATTATATAGATCAGTGGTTATTATGGATTATGGACTCCTATTTTCACCAGAAGCAACAGTTTAAAGTTAAAAAGACTAAATGATGGACTTGTTTCTTACAAACACGCAACTTCTCACTTCATAAGATTTTAATTGCTGGACTGGAGTCAAGTGGATTATTATGTGTTTATCAGCTGTTTGGACTCTCATTTTGACGGCACCCATTCACTACAGAAGATCCATTGGTGAGCAAGTGATGTAATGCAAAAGTTCTCCAAAATCTGTTCCGATGAAGAAACAAACTCATCTACATCTTAGGTGGCCTGAAAGTGAGTAAATATTCAGCTATTCACCATTTTTGGGTGAACTATTCCTTTAACAGCCTCTTATCGAGTCTTTTCAGTAAAATGTAAAAATGTTCAATGGCAAAAATGTACAAAAATATAAAATCCTTGTTTTGGAAGACAGACATTGTAAATAATAAACGGTCTCAAAATGACAAAATATAAAACACATGGCAGCTTGCCCAATCGGACATTCATGATAAATACTCTTTGTGAGAAAACAGTTTAACCTTTAAGTTATATTGTTGGCTCTGAAATGTATGTAAGCGTGTTGCTATTGTTCCGCTATAGCATAAATATGATACTGAAATTTTAGTTTGGAAATATAAAGACAGTTTTGAATAAATTTCGGTTTTAAACACAGCCACTGCTAGAAAGAACATATATATATATTTTTTAATCTATTTGGGTTTTGAGTCCTTAAACTTTAGTTAGTGAAATATAACATAAAATATTACATATAATATGCAGCCTGAGGCATTTTAATTTATTTTAGTAATTTACTGACTCTAAATGAACGGAAAAAAATAACATGGAAATTCAGATGTCATGTTTATGAAATTTAGAATTCATGCTTGCTGATAGTGGCACCTAGTGGCCAAAGTTTCCACATGCAAACTGTTAGTTTTTTTCCTCATGCACTGCCTCTTGAGAGCATGAATGAATGAATGAATGTGCAGGCACAAAGACATGTTTCCTGCATTATTTATTATGCATTATATTCCTGCTCCCAATCTGGGGTATCCAGGGCTGTTGCCATCAAATGGCTCAAGGTCCTTGCCTGACTACTGACAGAGATAATAAACAGGTATTGAATGCTTTAAAGATTTTTTTTTTTGATCACCATCATTTTCAGAGATCCATAACCATTGAGACTCAGGTGAAATCAAATGTAACACTAATAGTGAGACTTGCAAGTGTTTTAAGAAGTAGATACCTCAGATCTGAGAGACCTCTTCAAATTGCTTGGGTTCAAGGTGCACAGTCTGGATGGCGGGAATTTATACAGAGGACGAGCCACTGCGAACCAAAGAGAAGACAATAGAGACATGAAAACTTACAAGGTGCATGAATGTATTATGATATCTCAGTGAGGTTAAAACTGAATGTTATAGTGCTGAGACATACAGTATGTAAGGAGATTTGTGCCGCTTGCTTACCTGTGGATGGACCCAGTCCTGGGACAGAAGGCCAGGTAGGATGCACACAGAAGGTCTGAGCTTTTTCTACAGGGCTTTCTATGGTCAGTTTTGGTAGTGTCAACTGCAAAAGCATGATGCCAGAAACAAAGTCAATGCTAGACAAACAGGTATCAAACACTGTAACTTTCACTGATAAACCAATAAAGATTTTTTGCAAGTGTTTCAAGATACCTCTGTTTTGCTTGGACAAGATGTTAGATGTCTGGATGGTCGGAATTTGGCCAAAAAAGGAAGAGCCACTACAAATACATATGGGTTCAAGACAAAAAGGAAGTTAATTGCCTGATTGTTTGCGCCAAGTGCAACTCTAAATTTTAAGGAGGCATACAAAATTGACATATCCATGAATATGCTGTGACATCTAACAGAGTGATGGTAAAATTGAATGTTATAGTGCTAAGATATATGTACAGGTGCATCTCAATAAATTAGAATGTCATGGAAAAGTTCATTTATTTCAGTAATTCAACTCAAATTGTGAAACTCGTGTATTAAATAAACTACTTCAGTTTGTGTGCATTGAATTTAAGTCTTTGGTTCTTTTAATTGTGATGATTTTGGCTCACATTTAACAAAAACCCACCAATTCACTATCTCAACAAATTAGAATACTTCATAAGACCAATAAAAAAAACATTTTTAGTGAATTGTTGGCCTTCTGGAAAGTATGTTCATTTACTGTACATGTACTCAATACTTGGTAGGGGCTCCTTTTGCTTTAATTACTGCCTCAATTCGGCGTGGCATGGAGGTGATCAGTTTGTGTTTCCACGACATTCTAATTTATTGAGATGCACCTGTATTACATATAAGATATGTGGCTCACACTCACCTCTGGGTTGATCCAGACTCAGGAAAGAAGGTCCAGTAGGGGCCTGTGGCCCTCTGTTGACAGTTTTTGGTAGTGTCAACTGCAAAAGCACAATGGAGGATTCACTCAAAACATATTTATTTGTATCAACGATATAAATTTAATCGGCTATTATTTTTCAAGTTCAACTTTTAGCCTAACAGCATTAGAACCGTCTTTAAACAATTAATTATACTCTGACTTAGAGAGGCATGATTTGTTTATTGACATACACTCTAACATTTTCTTACCTTTTCCTTGCGATCTCTTCTCTCCACATCAGGCCTTTTGTAAGCTAAACCAATAAAAAAGTAAAGTTTAAAAAGTAACATTGTCCTTAAAAAAAAAACAGGAAGTAAAAAAAAACTAACTTGGAATTCGGATACTAACTCCGTGGCAAATCATTCCTCTGAAAGTAAAATTTGAAAAAATATTTGATATGGCGTATGAACTGATGTATGCGTGTGAGTCGACAGATGTCGTTGGTACCTAATGGACTCGTTTGCAAGACATGATTTCGATGAGAAAGTTATCAAAAAAACGTATATCATAGATAGATAGATAGATTTTTATATCTTTCTCATCGAACTCAATTTTAAATATCCAGTTTAAAAGTTAATGTTTCGTCAAAAATAAATCAATCAATCAAGAAGAGACACTTACCTGACCTTCCGACTTTTTCTTAAAGTAAAATGTTCTGATGCTGTCTGATTGAGTAAAAGCTGTAGACTGACTCGTTTGTAAGGCTTACAAAGACAAAATCTTAAAAATCAGAATCTTCAGATAAACTACAACCAAGAAACTCTGTGCAAATAACTGAATACGTCACCTCAGTGTAAAACAATTATAATCGAAGACACCAGGGAAAACCCTGAGAAAATAAATTAGTACAATTGATTAAAATCCTGTTTATGCTATTTTGTTATAATTCATGCATGTGTATGTGTTATATATATATATATATATAAATGTAAAAAAATTACATCGCAGCAAAATAGAGACAATTTAGGGTCATAAACTTGATTTTAATGGCAAGTACTAACATTTCATCAGTCAATACAAAACAGCTATCAAAAAGATGCTTTAAAAATCTTGTTCTGTCACAGCAACAGAATATTACTTCACCTTGGCCCTCAAGAAATGCTTCAGCTGACCCTTATAACAAACATCTTCATCTCAAGTTAATGTATAGAAAATATTTTAAGAAATAAATATAATCCCATCTAATCTGAATTATGCCCACACATTGAAGTTAATCAGTCATAAGCCCTTTGTGAAACAAGAGGTACACAGGTCGACATCCTTTTGAAAACAGCCATCAGCGACACAATACAAGGTGTAGATTGTAATTAAGACTTGAAATGGAAAGGTTTGAGGCTGATATAATCATTCGACCGCATGCTATAAAGCGATAGATTGTATTAATCTCTGAGCTACATTATGGCTGTGTGACACTCAATGCAAAAGCTAGTCTAATAACATTGATGCATTTGAAATATTCTCAGATGATATGTCGAAAACGATGAATCTAGTGTAAGCAGCACCTCTAGTGTGATGGTGAAGCTGTACGTGGGACAATGGAGGCTGTCAAAAATTGCTAAATTAATTTAAATATATATGACTAATTGTCATCATCACCCTGACAGCACAAATGATTTTCTCATTGCACAAAAACATATGTAAATATTACTATATAATCTGCCTGTGTCCTGGGCCTTCATGACAGACGCATGTTTTTGGTAGAGGAAAGGGCAACTCTCTCTCAAAAACGTCCCTTGACCAGTCACTACATGAAAGCAGGATGAATGCATTGGCTGCAAATATGCACACACATACACAAATACACAGATTTAGTATTGGCATATGATGAAATGCACAGAGTCTGTGACATAATGATAAAGGCCACCGGCCATGCCTTCCACACACACACATGCAAACATGTTCAAATCATAGATCATTGATTTCCCTGATGTTTCTGTATCGAAAAATGTTAAACTGTGTTTTACTGGTCCATTCTCCCTCATTTAAACACTGTTTTTTGGGGTTTGGTCATGGGAGCCATGTGTTAAGGATGTCCTGAAGACTTCAAGCCACTTACACTTTAAGGATGAATAAAATAAAAAAATGCACAGGACTGACAACCATTGATCCGCAGTGAAAGAAAAAGACAAAGAAAAACATTCAAATAAAGTCTGATCCATATAAAGTGGCGTGTGAAATTCTTGTACACCTCTTTAATACCCAAAACCGATTGCTTTTCAATTGTAGACAATTGAGAAGAATCTATTGCAACAACTACCATGATATCAGAGAGACAGGAGCTTCACGTGTCGTACCATCTCACTCTGTACAGATCAATATAGTATCAACTATGCAAGATAAGACCATCTTAACCAGGGGAGGGCTTGTGATCCCCCTGTGAGGAGCTCAGATGGTACAGTCCAGGCTTAGCTGAAACATTTCCCATAGCACAGCCTGCATTTTCTGATCTGAGATCAGTGACAGGGAGCAAAAGCCCTGCGTTCTGTGAAGGGAACCGTGGCTGCAGCTGATCCCGCAGTCAGGGGCTGCTCTCAGGGTCTTTCTGCGGCGAGCTGCAGGTCTCCTGGTTTTTACCGGTCAACGATGTGGCCTCAGTGTTCATCTCTGTGGCAGTCTCGCTTTGCTCCAGCACCAGGTGGATGGTAGTGCTTTCCATCTCACCCTCAGCAAACTCTTCCTTTGCTAAACGGAATTTAATATTTAACTTCTCAGGTTTTTCTAAAAGGAAAGAAAAAAAAAATATCAAAGAAACTCAAAATTGGAGTCCATCTCAAAAATTGGCTTGCATCTTTAATCTATAAATTGTACAAATGTAAAAGACAAATACTCATGGTATTTAGCAAATGGTTTGTTAAAAAACATATATTATAAATAAAAATTGTTAAAAATATTCATTTAAAAAAAATAAAGATTACCAATAAAACCAGTAATTTTGCTAATTAAATGTCCAAGATATATACTCATTTAGGCAAATTTTTTTGTAAATAATGATCTACAATAAATTCAACTAAATTAATAAATAAATATATTTACTAGAATTTAGAAATAATAATTAAAAAAATCTTCAAAAGCAATAAAATCTTACTTAAAAAGCAATAAAAATAAGCAATAAAATAAATAAATGACTGTCTGCACTATTTGCTGAAGTCAACAAACTAAGAGTACAGAAGTAATCTATATTCAGTAGTTTTGGTCAAGTCAAATACCTTTTCCTATTTGTTTCTCTTTGGGCAGCAGAAGGACATCCACATTGTGATGTTCTTGCAGAGCGGCAGTGAGTGTAGCTCCCTCTTTACTGAAGAGGAACACCAGGGGAACTGTGATGTCATCTGTAGGTTCTCCATCTCCAACCATCTGGAACAGTGGAGTCTCAGCACTGCTGCTGCCCTCTCTGTGATCTATGAGAACATTCAAAAAAGAAGAGTCCAGACTCTAAGACAGTGCGGAGAAATCATGTGCCTAGTCTGCAAGTAATGTTACACTAGATCTCACCAATGAAGATGACTCCGGTGGCTCCTGCTTCCTGTAGGCGCCGAGCTTTGGCAGCAAACATGCAGTCTCCCCTCAACGCCAGGGCTATGTGTCCCTGCAGCTCTACTGCGTTTTCAATTGGGCCACATGCCGTATAGGGAACACTCTTCACAATACTGCCTTTCACCTTAGAGAAAGACACAGAAGAGACAATAATTAATTGTGGTAAATGTATGGCATACCTGCAGTTAGCTCAAGAAGTTTTCATACAGTTGCTCACCCCATGCTCTTGTTTGGTAAGATCCTTTCCAAACTTTGCTGGACCAGCCGTAAGGGCTGTTCGACCCAAAAACGGAGGGGAAATGAGCTGTACAATTAGTGCCACTACTTCCTCATGCTCAGGTGTTTGGCTCACCTCAGCAACTAGCTTTAACTTGTACACACCCTTCTGAGAGTCCTATGGAAAAAGAGACAGATAGATGAATGAACTGACATATGAAAGAAGAGATAAATCACAGATATTCAACAGGTGGTCCCAGTGTTGTTATTTTTAACTAAAACTTAAAACTATTTTTTTTAAATGAATAACAGCTGAAGTAAAAATAAAAACTAAACATTAGATGAAAAACAAAAATTAGAATCTTAAAAAGTTTGTTGAAACATTAAAATTACTAAAACAAAAATAATTTTAAGCTAATTAGAAATATATAAAAAAGCAAAGCAATGCAGGTTCTAGTTGAATTAATACAATTATAACACCACATCCAAAAGAAATTAAAAGGTAAATATAAATATGAAAAAGCAAATAGCAAACTTACTAGAACAAACTAAAATGAAAAGGTTACACTGGTTTCCTATTATGTTGTAATTATACAATTAAGTATTGTGTAAATTAATAACATGCACCTGTATGGTTAGGGTTGGGATTAGGGTTTGGTTAAGGGTTAGTTACATGTAATTATACATTAAAATACCATTATTACTATAATAATAATAATAATAATAGGTGCATGCAATGTCAGGGTTTCTGCAGGATTTTTAAGCTCAAATGTAAGACTTTTTAAGACCTTTTTTAAGACCTGCACAAATAAAATTAATACCATATTAGCGGGGTAGGGCAATGTCTTTAGTAACATATTAGTAACAAGGACACTGTAAAATAAAGTGTTAATCTGGAAATATAAAAATAAAAGCTAATTTAAAATATTGGTAAGTACAACAACAGTATATAAATAATAGTAAAATAACACTGGTTGGTCCAATGAAAGGAATCGTTCTCGCCGAATCACCTGAGACGCGAAGCCTTGGCTGGCGGAGACCAGCTCAGTAAGGGGCGTCAGAGAGATGCCCATGCTTTTCAGAAACTCAATTGGCTCCAGGCCTGTGTCATGAAGAGGCAGTTCAATCCCCCTGTGTTGGAAAAACAAAGGAGCTAGGCCTTTTTCTATTATACATGCTGCTCTTTGATAAAACTGTAACATGTGACCCACCTGACAGGTGAGGAATGCTGGGTTCTCCCCAAACCAGTGAGGTATTTATAGCTGTCCCTGATAGTCTTGGCAAAGGTGGGGTTGTTAGGGAACAGGGTTTGAGCACTAGGGCACGAGTATGAAAATAAATCGTCTTTATGAGCTTGAGGTTCCTGAAAGATATACAATGACGATGTGGCTTTTGAAATGGTTTTATTGCCAAATGTTTTATGTAATATTCCAATTTTGGATAGAAACATTGTTATTGTAGAGAATTACAGACAAAAAATAAAGCCAAAAGTTGTAGAGATGATCACATTGTGGGGATTTAAATCTTTAAAACCAAAGTCTGAGAAACATTCAGTCATAGAAAGAGTTCTTGTGGATCCAAAAGGTCCCATACTAGACATAACATAATTTTAAAGTCCCGATTGAGAATAAGGTGAGCTCTTACCGTGTTGTTGGTATGACAGGAGGCTTGGGTCGTAGACAGAGATACTGGGAGCAAATGAGCCTCAGTAGTGAAAATATAATCATCAATGTCTATAGGCAACTGGGTCTTCTCTGAGAAGAGCAGGTAGAGGTACTTAAACATCTCAGCCAGGAAGAAGGAATCCATCCTTAAAATGAACAAACATAAAAATTATTTTTACTACTGCTGCCTTTCAAAATTAATCTAGATATACAATGATACAAACAATATGGAAGAATTACTAAAAGGACTCTCACCTGTCCTCATGCGTTCCTGTCCTCACATCCTGTACGGCGGCGAAGCCACAGGGCACCCGAGCATGAGTGTTCAGCTTCTCCACTATAGACTGGCCTACTTTCAAGTAGTAAGGATCACCTGTGGCCTAGAAATGAGGCGGAAAATGTTATTTAAAAACAATGAAGACAGACAAAATAACTAGTTTGACAAGTCAACTGTGACCTTAAGCATTGTTTACACTGTGCTGCTGGTTGCTAGTAGGCGTTCATATTCTGCTGTATCAGGTGGTATACCTACTTTGTAAAGGAAATATGTGCTTTCGGCAAACTCTGGTCTCAACGGGTGCTGGCCCCAATGAACTCTGAACTCGGTGGTAAAGGCCTGTTAGATAACATCATTTGTAGTCAAAGACATATGAGGATTAGTATTGAAAATACTGTAATATTAGGCAGTGATCTCTGTAGATTGAGGATGTTTAGGTTTAATGTGACAAATGTAGTCATCCATTAATTACCTCAGGGAGGAAATTGTGCTGTTTAGTCACTTGGTACAGCATCTCATGCGTCTCAATAGCAGGTTTCAAGTCTCCTCTCAGCACCTGAAAGATATTTTGGTATATTTAATTAATTATTTTGAACTTCAAATTGAACATTTCACTTTAAAAACAGCTACTTGTGCCTTTTTCTTTAAAGTGAGTTAAATCTAAACTTGAATCCAAATTTAAATTTGTCCTGCCAGCCAATGGCTTCATACTACAAAACGAAACAAATCAACACAACACAACATTTGAGGTAAAAGTTGTTAAAGGACATTTGACAATCAATGAGCTTCTTTTTTTTAGTGTTTGTATTTTTGAATACATCACAGAAGAACCAAAAAGGTAACTACTTTTCTTGTTGTACCATTCATATACCATCAATATACCATTCAGTTTCAACAATGCTGTAATTTTTAAAAACTTAGTAGCCAACTGGCCAATAAAGTCAATTCTTACTCAATAAACATTAATTTTGGACCCTGACTTCAACTTAAACTGATCTAAATTCAAAACTATCTCTATCTTTTGTGGCAACATGGAATAGAGGGGATGAAGAGGTAAACCTGTAGCCCAGGGAAGAAGGCGAGCAAGGAATCCATCCAGCTTCGCACATTTACGGTGGGGTTGTGCATGTGCACGTTGAGCAGCAGAGGAGGTTGGCTGATGTACTTCATAATGGCACTATAGTGCTGTTACAATAGACAAAGACAATGTCACACGTGCAGATAATAGATGTAAAACAAGCTCTGTTTGAGTAATAGAGGCTAGATTATTTATGGAGAATAAAGAGCCCTTACTGTGTTGAATCTGTCAAGGTACACCTTGTCTCCAAGAAGAATATAAGCTTTCATCAAGTATTCATAATAAGAGTCAATTCCAGCGCCAACACCACTATCTGTAATGAGAAACAGAAGGTACTGATGTGAATATCGTCTCTGTAAGAGGCAAAGTGGGATTAGATGTGGTAAAATAGCTGTGTGGGACATTTTTTACTGTGTAAATGAAATTACAACAACTAGAAGCGACAGTGCAAAGCCTCACCTCTGCGAACCCAGTCTCCATTGTGGATGTTGATCACAGTGCCGACAAGGTCACTTCCTCTTTGTCTCTTCTCCCAGAGGACATCCATAGCTTTCCTAGCGTGTTCCTACATAGGATGCAGGTTGAACAACTTAGCACACGCTTCTCACTGTCTGAGTCTTAAAGGGGTCATATGATGCGATTTCAAGTTTTACTTTCTCTTTGGAGTGTTACAAGTCGTTCGTGAATAGATAAGATCCCTAAAGTTGCAAAGACTAAAGTCTCAAACCCAAAAAGATATTCTTTATAAAAGTTAAGACTCGTCCACGCCCTCCTAAAACGCCTCGTTCAAACACGCCCCCACATGTCTACGTCACGATGTGGGAAGATTTGCATAACGCTGCCCAAATGTTCACGCAAAGAAAGAAGGCGTAACTTTATTGTTGCTGCCACCGCCGCCGCCATGTTGTGAAGACGCTGTGTTTCATTGCGAAAGCGAAAATACTTTGTTTGGCCTTCCAAAAGAGGACACGACTAGAAATCAGTGGTTAAGTTGTTTTTACAACACTGTTCCAGAACACTTCAACCCAAATATTCGGATGTGTGCAGCACATTTTATGGAGGACTGTTTCGCACACCTCGCTTTTCAGACCGATGAGCTTTGTAAAAATCTACGCGTTTCAGAAAGGCGGGGGCATAGAGGAGAAACAATAATGTACAGTATGTGGAAAATAATGTGTTTTTTTAACCTTAAACCGCATAAACACATTTCATTACACCAAATACACAAAATAATGTTCTTTTTAGCAACATCATATGACCCCTTTAATCTGTTATTAGTAAGAAAACATGCTGGACGTTTACCTCAAATATTGGGTCCCCAGACAGTCGGCTGAGAGCTGCAAACTCCAGAATCATGGTGCCTGCGCAAGCAGTGCAAGTGTCCGACTCCGTTCCTGTACGAGAAAGGGGGCTGACGACTCCATAGCGTAAATTTACCTGAAGAGGAAAATGAAAATGCTTTAAATATGAATAAAAACATTTACAAGAAATTTTTGTCGTTTTAATTAGCATAAAAAAAGCTATTAGTGTCAGATATTTTGATTGTTATGTAAGCTGCGATATGCGTGAGATGCATTTCGCCTCCAAATTCAAGGATACTTTGCCAATTTTCAACCAGCTTTGTATTGATACAATGTCAGTAGTATATATATAAATGAACATTGTGTACTCTTGCCTGCTACAGATATTTATTTATCAGCAAAACTCTGCCAGTGGACTTTTGGCAACTCCAGGGCTTTTGTTAAAACTACAAATCATACTTCTGCATTTTTCTATTTCCAGTAATGGACAGGTGGACTGAGAGACATACAGCGCCAAAATCAAAAGTGCATTATGTGTGTTGAAGTTTTTGGCAAAATGAAAGGACACAGCCCCTTTTCTCGAGTCATGTAGCACCGATTTCAAAATATCCAAGTTTTATTAAAAGCCTATCTTGCCAGAGGTGAATTGCCACTTTGTGAACAGAATAGAAGGAGAGTTTGAAATATTCTAATCAATAGTGTTGGAGTTACCCGAGGATAAGGAAGGCCACTGGTGGTGTTAAAGGCAGGCAGGAGGCGGTAGCCCAGTTCTTTAGCCATGTGTAGCAGTTCATCTCTGTACCACTGCATCCTCTCTCCACGCTGCTTTAGAACATCTGCCATGACATGTGCACCCAACAAGCCACTGGGAAGAACAGGGAGAAGTTTAATCAACAATGCATTTCATGGAGGAAGTCAATAAGAACAATGAACTTGGAGAAGAAAGCCTGAAAACCTAATTATGCCCAAAACCTGAAAACCTGCTTTAAAATCAGCTGTATTCCTGATCAGTTATTTTAAAATTTACCGTTTTTTTTTTTAAATAAGATAAACACATCCAAAGCTAGAGAAACATCATGATCCATACCCCAGCACACGGATATTGGTCTCAAAGACAGAGACGACTATGTCATTATCAAATCTGACGTCTTGCACTGTCTTCTTCACAGCCTCCTCAAATTCATCCAGTTTGTTTAACAACTGCTCAAAACACACAAAACAACAGTTTAGATGCATCTACTATTATGTCCTTTGTATTGATCTGAATAAGCTTGCTTAACACGTCTGGCTGCTTAAACATTGTTAGTGTTTTTGATCAAGTTTATACTTTTATATTTTATTTTATTAAAATATCAAGGTTTTATTTCAAAGATTTAACTCACCACAAGAGTATCTAAAGTGTCTATTAATGTTAAAGAGAACCTGTAACGAGAGAAAGAGAGGTTGCCTTTAATATCCCAAAGAATCAATCAACAGAAATCTTTATTGAAAAGCTGATCCAAGACTTTTCAGATCAATGTTTATATCAATCTTTGAAACTAAATATAGCAAACTGACTAGTCATATTTCCAGAATCTAACTAACATGTCATTACAAGGGTCATGTGCAGCAAAGGTTTTAATAAAAAATTGTAAATGTATCACTTCATACTGAATCATTATGAGCTTGACTCACTTTCCCAAAGAGTCATCAATGTCCCCTCGATTGGGTTCCAGCCCTCTCACCCTTCCTCTACAGCTGAGGGGCATCAACTCATCTGCTGGGTAGGCATAGTCCTGAAAGAGGATAGGAGAAGAAAAGATGCCTCTCAAATGATAACAGATTAATAACAGACACATTCATTCTCACAATTCCACAAAGTGCAATTACTACGGTACAACAGTTACTTTGAATGTTAGCTATTTAGGTCCAATAAATGCAAATGATTCAGAAACACTATGTTTTGATTAGTGAACTAATTCAAAACTATTTCTGAAACATAGGTATTTACTCACCATGTAACTGTTATAGGCATGATCAAACATCTCTAGAATTTGGTCCCTACAAAAAAAATAAAAATAAATAAATAAAAAGGAGTGTGCAGCAGTTACTGTTTCATATCGCACGGGGAAAAAGTCATGGAAATATCCATGTACACTCAATTCAACTCTGTTAGTAACTGTTGCAGAAGTCACAACTTCAACAAGTCACCAACAATAAAATGCCTTTTATTAAACACCTTCCAGAAAAAAAAAATCATACATTATCTCGCTACTGTTATGTGTGATGTGTTTATGGATGTATGTGCATATATAGTTCAAAAGTTTGGACTAAAAATGTTTACAATTTAAAAAATTTCAAAATTTTTCCCCACAATTTGACATTTATGTTACATCAATTTCAAATAAATGCTGTTCTTTGGAACTTTCTAATTATAAAAGAATTCTGAAAAACAAAATGTATCACAAAAATATTAAGCAGCACAATTATCAACATTGATAATAAGAAGGAAAAAATAAATAATGTTAAGAAATGTTTCTTGAGCAGCAAATCAGCATATTAGAATGATTTCTGATGGATCATGTGACGCTGAAGATTGGAGTAATGATGCTGAAAATTCAGCTTTGACATCACAGTAATAAATTACATTTAAAATACATTGAAACAGAAAACAGTCACTTGATGTTGTAATATTTTACAATATCGATGTTTCACTGTATTTTTGACCAAATAAATGCAGCCTTAAAGAAACTCGTTTCAAAAACATAAAAAAAAAGAAAAAGAAAAAAGATCCTATAGACCCCAAACTACATAAATGTAGATATATGTATATGGTGAACCCAAAGACCAAATGTCTGCTACTGTATGTCCACACCCTGATGCTATGAAAAGGTATTACATCTTGGTTAAAGACGGACCACACCTCAGTGGTTTAAAACAGGAATTAGCATGACAGCAAACTGAATCATTAGACTGAATCAGTTAAATTGAGTAATCCTTTCCATCAACATCTTTGCGTTCTGAAGCAATCTTCTCCCAGAACAAACAGTACAAGACACAACCACTGAAACAATGAGGTCATGTATAGAATTACAATTATCTGTGTACTAATAAAATCAGTGTCAGACAAAACCAAAATAACATGGAATTAAAGTGCATGGTTAATGTTTACCATTACATACAGCATTACAGCCTGTCATCATTCTCTAGGCATCTGTAAGTCACAGTTTGAGTATAAGGCAACAGAAATGTTTGTCTAGTGGTCTGGAATCAAAGTCACCAAACTTAATATGCAATCTTAAATGTACACAATAGTAAACGTCTTGTTTGACAACACCAGTTAACATAATCATACGAGCTACCATCAATCATCAAAATAACCATGTAAAATCACAAGTCATTCAAGAACATGGAAGTGTCCATTGCAGTTAAGCTCACCTGATTTTGGACTTTTCCTCTGCAGTCATTGCCTGTCCATCTTGACCAGTGACTCCAATCAAAAGGCAAGAAAAGATCACAGCTGCCAGAGCCATGACAAACCCACCACATCTATGCTTTTCTCTCATGATCCAGTTTCCCCCCATTTAAAGAGGTATGTTTTTCGACAACCTGTTCTTTTAGCCCCCTTAAAATATAACTAACCCTTTATGTAACGTTGCAGTAACAACAGGCCTGTCAATGTTTAATCACTTCTTATCTTGTCCTATGCAGTTCGTTGACATTAGTTGATTTAATTTTCCTACCTTAATATTTGTATTTAACAATCTCCAGAAAAACTGAAAACAAGTGAATATGTACTTGGGATAAAAGCGCCAGACAATTTCTTTATTTACAACACTGCCTGTAACGACGGCTAACTAGCAAACTTGCCCACGAATGTATTTCCCAGCACTACTTTTGATGTCGTTAGTCCCTCTTGAAATTTCTGGACATATATCCTGTCGAACTGACTGCGTCCAGCTCTTGATAATCTCCATCCCATCTAGATTTAGCCCCTCATTTCTCGGACGGAGTTTGTTTTAGCCGACTGATCAGCCTCATCCGGGCGCGAGCTGATGATATCATCACCAAGAGCCGTCGGGCACAGCACTCATTAAAGCCGTATTTATTTATTGCTTTATTCATTTAGTATTGTTGTATTATACCAAAATTGTATTAAAAAAAAAAAAAGTTGTAAAAAAAAAAAAAAAAAAAAATTGGATTATTTACCTTGTATGTATTTTTTTTATTTTTATCTTTAATGCAAATATGCAAACCCTTTGTATTTGTGAACTCCGTCTTTTTGCCCGTTAAATTGCATTTATAAAGTAATTCAGATTGGTATGTAGTTCTAATCGAGTTTTTGTTCATTTCCGCATCGCAGCGAGAGGACTTCAACTCCCAGAATCCTTTTCAGTGCATATAAATAAAGCTTTTTTGTCTGGGCTGAGCGCTTCTCAGCTGTTGTGCCGTAAGGGTACATTAAAATGTGGCGACTTTGGCTGCTGAGGTGCAGGTGGTAATGAAAGTTGTATTGTTTTGCCGTAAGGGTCGTGTTGTCTGTGTTAAATTTCCCCGAACTCATCTTTAGAGGACTGCACGCGGCTTCAGCATGAATGTAAGTTGGTCTCTGTCTACATGTACGCAAGTTCATTGATTTCACGCATGTAAATTATAGTTAGTTTAGCAGTGCACCTCAAAATAACGCATGGACTTGTAGTAGACTAGTTAATAGCCTTTTTAGTTTCATTGTTGTATTTTAATGCTGTCATTTACATATAAATAAATAAATAAATAAATGCATCTGTAATCCAAGACCGTGTTGGTGGGTAAAAAAAAGATAAAATTGTTGCTGTTTCTTAGTACATGGACATGCATATTTCATTGTAATACGCCAAGGGCGTGTTATATTAATAGTTACTTAAAAGGATAGTCTTTCAAAACATGGAAATTACATTTATCCTCATGTTGGTCCAAACCTCTATATTTGAGACTAACAGCCTTATTGAGCATTTATTTTTATTCCATTAAATACAAGGGAAGGTGACTGGTTGTTATTCTATCACATCTCCTTTTGTGTTGCATGGATAAAAGTAGTACATTTTGCAAAATTGTCAAAATGATTATTTTGACCTATTTTTCCACTGAAGTTGACCAGGCCACAGCATTTCACAGAGCAAATAAAAGATGTATTCATGCGAGAGCTTGCATAGCTGCTTCGAGATAACACTGGGAAGTTCTTGATAGGGTACAAATGTATCAAAAGCCACTTATCTCCATTTGGCCAATGCAAAACTATCTCCAGAACAGAAGATATGCTGCACAGGACAAAAATGTGTAGAGGAATTCTCCAGTGCTTGGAATGGATTGGATGGAATTCCTAAATTTTGCTTCTGAAGACAGGACAGCAGATTTACTCATGATTATAGCAAGTCGTGGAATGTTGTTGATCTGGAGCATAACCTTGTATACTTTTCTTCGATCTGTAGTTCCTGCAGCACACTTGTTAGTACAAGTTTTAATGTGTCAGTCTTTCAAGGTGCTGTTTCCCGTAATGTGACTGTCACGAGTAAATGGCAAGGCTTCCTCTACCACCCTTTTATGACGTTTTTTACATTAACACCTGCAGAAGTACTTACCATAAAGTCAGTTATCATTCCATTCTGATTCCTATCTAGCTTTGAGATATTGTGTCTTCTGCCAGCAGTTGACATACTAGGGTTATTTAAGCAAGTCAAGCAAAAAGCAAAGCTTGATGGCATTGAATTCTTGCAATGTGGATAATCGTAGTTAAATCAGACGTCCAGGATTGAACATCATAGACTGGTAGGATTGTATTACCGGTTTTGACAAGGTAATGTTAGTGTCATTAACTTCTGTTTATAAACTCTTCCCATGGGATGGGTTAACAGTCAACCCTCAATGAAAACATGTCACTAATTACAAGCCTGCTTATTATGTTCTTGTGTTCTGTCTTTTGCAGATGCACTTTGAAGGATCCAGCAAAGTCACGCTGTTGTTTGATTTCTGGGATGTGCGTGGGCCTGCAGGTACATGGGTTTTTACAAACAAGATTGAACATAATCATACAATATGCATACAAATGCAGAATGACAGTTTATGTCCCACCAGACCATCTTGCTTTCTTTGATGCAAAAGTTGCTTTCTTTTACATGTTACTTCACATTAAACGGAGAGTTCTCGCACAAATTACAATTATCATTTACTCCAGTGTTATCTTAGTATTATTTATAGTATTTTTTATTTGAATTTTATTTAAAGTTTTAGTCATTTTGTTTATTATTTTTTTTCTATTTAGCTGTATTTTTTAGTTTGTTATTTTATTACTTTAACTTATTCAGGTTAATCTCATGTTGTTCCAAACCAGAATTAAACTCAAATGAAAACCATTAAAAAAAGTTACTTGAAATAAATGTTAATTGAAACAAAATTAAATATAAAAAAATAGTGGCAAAGGCAACATTACTCAATTTTATTTAGTAAAACTAAAGAAATTAAAGTTGATAAAAAAGCTATATATACACACACAAAAAAACTAAGTACAAAAACACTAACTAAAATGAAAATGGACAATATAAAAATAAAAACAAATTCAAAATATTACTAAATTATAATGGCATCACAAATGATACAAAAACAACCCTGTTCCAAACTATGACTTTATTTCTTCTGCGTAACATAAAAAACAGAATTGATGGGTGCACTTTTTACTTGCTTTTGCTTTTCAAGTTGCAAATGGATGCAAAAGCACAATAAAAGAAGTTTACACAAGCTTTATTTTATGCTTTGACAGTACGGTTCTAAATCTCAAAACTAATCCGCATGGATGTGTGCACTTTACTCACAGCACTTGACTTCATGCATACTGCCAAATCACAATACAACACCACTCTTGCTCTTTTGATATTGTTTAAACATCAGATTCACAATCTAAACACTGAATTGTATTTTCGAGATGAACCTTGACTGGTGGTGTGGCACAGTGGATAATGATCTGGGGTAGAAGACAAAAAATTGCAGATTCAGAGCTTGCAAGGTGTTACGGCTTTATGAGCTTGAAATATACCAGATATTTGTTGTAGAAATGCCGCACCTTTATAGACAAAATATTGTATAGTGTAAATGTTCTGTAGTTGTGTGTGTATTGTCATACTGTGGGAATCCCATAAACAACAGGTTCCTGATTTGGTTTGTTCCGTTGGTTTCCGTTCATTGAGGGGAGTCAAAAAGATAATGATATTATATGTATATTGGGGTTAGTAAGATTTTTAAAATGTTTCTGAAAGTCTCTTATGCTCACTAAGGCTGCATTTGTTTGATTAAAAAAATAAAATAGTAATATTGTGAAATATTATTACAATTGAAAATTATTGTAATATTTTTTTTGTGTAAACAGTGAAACCGACAAATTTTGTAACATTATAAATGTTTTTACTGTTACTTTTGTGTCAAACTTTTGTAATGAGTCTTTGCTTAATATAAGTATCAATTTAAATTTGTAAACATTAATTTAATGCTATATATACTTTTATTTTCATTTAAATTTAAAAAATGTTATCAGAACGTTATTTACTGAACATTATTTACTATCTTTAACCACTAATTTGAGCTATATAAACCTGAATGGTTTACATTTAAACATTTTATATTAACATTTTGATCCTCGGACCCTAGAGAAAACCCCAGAGTTAAAAAGCATTTTACTTTCATTTTAAAAGTTGGATTAGCAATTTAAAGTGTGAAAAGCCTATATGTCTCTGTCTACAGGAATGGTGCTGTCGGTCTTTGTAGTTCTTCTGCTCACCGTGATCTACGAGCTTCTGAAAGTGTGGAAGATCACTATTGGAAAACAGAAGCAATCCTTCATTACACATCCATCCGCTCCGGTGTCATTCTCACCGGAACCATCCTGTTTCGCCCCCGTCATGAAGCGTCAAGAGGGAAGCTCTGCTCTGACCAACAGCCCCTCTGAGATCTCATTAGCTGCCACCGAGAATATGGCCGCTACTGCAGACACCACCACCGCTGCTAAGAAGTGGTAATGCTCACAAGACACTAACAACACACGACCGTTATGATCTCAATCGTATCAAAATTGGCCAGGTGGACAGATAAACAATGAGTTGATGATTATTTATACCTCTAGCATTGTAGCTTAATGAATCTCTGCCCCCAACAAATGTTAATTTTGTCTCTTTCCATCTTCAGCTGGCTTCTACACTGCCTCCAGACCGCCATTCACATTCTGCAGGTGACGCTAGGCTACATGCTCATGCTCTGCGTCATGTCCTACAACGTGTGGATCTTCCTGGGGGTCATCATGGGGTCCGTCTTGGGATACTTTCTGGCTTTTCCTCTACTGAATCACATTTGAGAAGAGATGAGAGAACAAAAACATGAGGCGGCATCTCGAAATGTTCAACCGAGTTGACTGTGGACTCAAAATCAAAAATGTTTCCTGTTGCTCTTGATATAATGATGCCAGGTTTGTGTGGCCATGATCAATAAGACATGCAAGAGATGTTGTGATATATAGACTGAACGGGGATGATTCTCATTTTTAACGTTTCAGGTTGTATTTTAAAGATCATGCATGAAATCTTATTTAAAGGGGTCATAGGATGCTACATGCACTTTTACAAGTTGTTTGAACTGAAATGTGTGTAGGCAGTATGGTTAAAAACATTTTTTTTTTTACACTACCATTGAGAAATTTTCATTGAGACCCTAAAGAATCATATCAACTTGTGAAAAATGGGCATCCTATGACCCCTTTAATGGAAGTTTGGCGATAACCAATTGTAAATTTGGTTAGTGTTTTAGAGGTTCGATTGTAAACCTCATTGGGAACACAATATCTAACGTGAAGAATGGTGTTTAACGCATGCGATTTTACGTTTGAGGTTGTATGACGTGACCTCATTCAAACAGCACTGTACTAAACGGAGATGTGCCTCATTGACAAGTTTTATATTTTCTACAACTACTGATGTAATAAGCTAATATTCTGTTACACAAATGAATGTTTAAATTCTGTTCTCTGAGATTTGCTTTAATGTTGCTGGTGGTTTTCTGTTATTTTGGGAAAGCAGTAGTTTTAAACCTTGCGATGGGGTCGTTGTAAACTTCCTACATGAGTCAAGATCAGGCGTTCTTGGGTAATGCTGGAAATTACTGCTGAATTGCAGAACAAACAATGATTTGAACTAAACTATTGGCGGGAAAGAGAAATGCAAATCATGTGGCCTTAGTTAATGTTCACCAGCAATACAGACACATGGAAACGGATTGACTAACTGAGAACAGAAATAGGAGATCTACAATCCTCACACAATCATTTAAATGCACTATTGGTAATTGTTTTTAAGTGAAATTAGTTTCATTGCAGAATGTATTAAAGGTTTTGAGTCTACACCTTTGTCAATGGTCTTTGCACTTTAATAAGATAAATACCACATAAATCTGGAGTTTACATTTTAGCCAAAGGCCTTAAAACACTAATATATTTTTTAAGAATATAATTTCATATATTATAAAATATTTGCAGAATAGAGTGAAGATAATTTTTCATTTGTTAAAAATGTAGACATTTGTAATAATGGTCAGAGGACAAAAGCATTTAGTATGAAAAGGACTGTAGCATGTAGACCATAAAAGGGTTATAATTATAGAAGCTTCACATTTATACTACTGTTCAAAAGTTTAGGCTTGGTAATATTTAAAAAAATGTTTTTGGCTATTAAGGCAGCACTATGTAACTTTGGGCGCTCTAGCGGTTAATAAACAGAACTGCACACATCCCGCGGAAGAACATTCCAACCGGAGCTACTTCTCTAAGTGTATGTCTATGCCGATTCACGCAGGTATGTGTTACTCCGCAGCGGTGACGACCCGGCCAGGCTACAATAGTCCAAATAGAAGTACTTATAGGTGTACCGTAGTGATTCGGAATAAGACAAAAACGCGGTTTGGAAGATGAATTCATGATGTACTCGCTCATTATATACATTTTGCAAATTTTGAAAGAAAAAGTTACATAGTGCTGCTTTAAGCTCACCAAGGCTACATTTAATTGATCAAAAATATTAAATTTGTAACAAAATTTACTTTAAATTTTAATTTACTTTATTCCTGTGATGGCAAAGCTGAATTTTCAGCATCATCACTCCAGTCTTCAGTGTCACAAGATCCTTCAGAAATCATTCTAATATGCTGATTTGATGAAAGAAAAAGTTGAAAAAAAGTTCTCAATATTTTTGTGGAAGCCATGATACATTTTTCCATAATTATTTGAGTTGAATGTTCAAAAGAACAATGTAAGTCTTAAATGTAACTTTATCAAATTAATGTATAAGTTCTTAAAAAAAATAAAAAAACTGACTCCAAACTTTTTAATGCTAGTGTACATTATATGGTAACATGTCGAATTTGCACAACATACACATTTCAAAATAATGTCATTTATTTATCCATTGCTGCCTTACAAAAGGAACAGAAGATGCAGAAAATAAATCACAACACTTAAAATAAATAAAATAACCAGTGAAATATGTGTGGAGCTACAATATGTTGCTTAGCTTCAATAAATGAGCAGAAAACATTAAAACCTATGTCCAGTAATGATTAACTTTTGTGATCCTAGCAAAAAATAAAAAATTCCCACAGCTACATGCCAGAGCAAACCTTTGCCCACCCGTCCTGAACGACACCTCCGAATTCCTCACATTCACACATCACGAGTTAAGCTCCCCAAAGTTTTCCTCTATGGTTTCCACAAAGTTACTGAACCAAGATGTGAGCCGACTGAGGATTTTTCTACACCTACTTCAATCCTTTGCCTTGAAGATTGGAGCTCTATCTGCAAATGGGTAATGACGTTTCCATCCTCCATAACACACATGTACAGGTGGAGGATGTGAATCTGGGTCACAGCATGTCTGTGAGCACTAAATGCACATTACAGAGTGTTAATGCATTCTATAGAAATAAGCTCACTTTAAATATTTTTAAACCACAAAGAAGTGTCTACAAGCATTAAAAAGCAAGCTTTAATTTATTTGAATGCATTTGCAGAGTTACTGTTTAAGTGCTTAATTACGCTGCATTTATACATGTACAATTAGTTTTTGAATATATTCCACAATTAACGGAAGGCAAAAAATACTAAAGTTTCAGATGGCCCCTATGAAATGGAACTGTCCAAGTTAATGACAGTTAGTTTATGAAACCTCTGCCAAATAATAATTAGTGTGGGAGTCATGAGTTACATAAAAAAAAGGCACACAAGGTCATAAATCTGTGTATATACTGAATGAGAATATTATATATATATATATATATACACACACAAATTTCTCCTCGATAAACATCCACAAAATGTCTAAATTAACTGCAAGAACAGAAAATAAAACGAATTAAAAATAAAATAAAACAAACAATGAATTGGCTGAAATATCAACCATAAAGTGTTGAAGATGGAAAGCAAACAAAAGTGTCTCGGCAAACACTTTCAGTTTATAAAATATGTTTTATATCTCATTCAAAGCAGACATCTATCTGCTGTGGTTTCAACTTCCGATTTCTTTTCTGAAGCATCACAAGGGGCTTTGGCGTCTAAATCAATGCTAGTTTTCACTCCCTCCACCAGAGTTAACATAACCTGCTCTGTGTCCACCACCTCGTCCCCTGTGTCAGGCTGAGGCTCCACTTCTTCTACATTCTCATTGGCTGGAGACTGAAACCCACTGTCATCGTGATGAAGAGGGCTGGAGTTGATAGAGGTTTGAGCGAATTCCCCATCAGAGTCAATGGCGCATTCGCTCAGCTGCTCGCCGGGGTCTTCCTGGATGGCGATCTCAATCTGTTGAATGGCACTTTCAATGGCGGATACGCACTGCTGCTCTTCTAAAGACCGTTCAATCTGTGTGGCATCTAATTCTCCGTCAACCTTTTTTGGTGACTCCCTTGGCACCATATCTGTTACTGTTGTGATGTGCTTCACCTCATCGCCCTCTTCCAAAGACAACATCCCATTGGTCAACTGTGAGCTGTCTTTTTCGACAACTTCCAGCACCGGGTTTATGAGGTCTCGGATCTCATTGACGCCGTCAGGAGAACCTGGCTCTTTCTCGATAGGTACGTGCTGTACTGGGTTCACAGGCTTTTTGGATTCAAGATCTTGTCCTGCCTGCCCTTCGTACTCCTCTGGGATGCAGTCCACTCCTGGTATTTCCTGGCAGGACTCGTATGGCAGAGGCATCCCGTCCAGGTGGATCATGGAGACGATCTGTTTGCGTTTCCTGTTAGCCATTTCGCCACCTTGCTTCTCTCCTTTTACTCCTCCGAGCTGGCCAGCCCAGTCGATGGTGTCCTCTCCCAGAAGGTGCAGGTTGAGGTCACTGTTGGTCAGGACCATGCTGTCTCTGTACAGGTTGTGCCTTCTCTGGACCGCAGCTTCCTTCACAGCTGCAAAATTAAAAGGAATGTGTGGAAAACACATTGCAACTCTATTTTTAAGTAGTAAGGTATGGAGGCTGTGCTATATTGTGCTGAAGGGGCTGCAGACACTCACCCATCATGATGTCCTTGCTGACTGACTGCAGGACAGCTTCCTCAAAGATGTTCTCTACTAGTATGAATCTAGAGAAGTCCTCAAAGATGAGCTCCTTGAACTTGGGCAGATCCTAGGCATCAAAGATAATTTTTTCCCCATATAAAACACCACATTTGCTCATTTTACATGAATTTTTTTAATATTAATCAGTTAAAACTAATTCTTAATAATTAGGCTATATCTATAAAACCTATCTATCTACAAATGAACAAAGGATCAACAAACTACTACTACTACTTTTATCAGCAACAAGATAATAAATTATAACAATAAATGTTCCGTTACAAATTATAATAAAAAAAATATAATAATGGTGGTGGTTGTAGTATTTATAACAAGATGACACCAGAAAATTATTATTATTAGTAGTAGTAGTAGTAGTAGTAGTAGTAGCAGTAGTAATCAGATCATTTATTATTTGTATAATCATTTTATTACAAATAATAATAATAATAATAATAATAATAATAACAACAACAAGATGATACCAGAAAATTATTATTATTAGTAGTAGTGGTAGCAGTCATCAGATCATTTATTTATATAATCATGTTATTACAAAAAAATAATTAATAATTACAACCACAACAGTAATATTTTGTACTATTTGGTTACAAATACTACTACTACCACCACCACCACAATTATTATTATTAGCAATAAGATAATAAATTAAATGATAATAATAGATTAATAATTACAAATTATCTAGTTACATAATTTTATATAATCTGGTCACAAATACTACTACAGTACTATCATCATCATCATCACCATTATTATTTTTATTAGCAACAATATATATATATATTTTTAAATTAACATTTTAATAATAAATTAATAAATTACACCATCATAAATAATAAATGAGAGTTCACACATTTTTAATATCTGGGTCATTTTATCTCTTTTGGTGCCATTTTTGGCCTGAGCCCCATTAACATCTGAGAAATATTAAAAGAGTAACACAGTAGGAAAAATAACCT